ACCCAATCTATAGTATTTATGGGTTGACTTAAGCTCATGTCTCACAGAATCAGACAACTTTTTGTAGACATCTAAACCCCATGGATATGAATTGAATTGTCCACTTTCCACAAGGTAAAAATCTCTATTAGTAATTTGGTATTCGTTGTCCTCATATGAAAATAAAAAATCATTAATGAAGAAGAGAACAGCCAATGAAACAGCTGAGTCATCATCTAGGAATTTTTTAGCTAGAAACAACGGACGTAGATGACTCTTTGCAACAGTGATTTTTTCCGGAAAATAACTACTCAACAAACTACATTTAGAATCAGGAACAGTGATATGAGAGCCATCACTAACACAATTTAAGCCGGTAACTATTCCAAATTCTCTAAGACCAAAAAACAACTTTTTGTTATTTATTTCAATAGCAAACACATCATCCGGTGTGTGTTTTAACTCTCTATTTATAAGGCAATGAATAACTTGTAGTTGTGTGCTCGCTTTTGGAAGGTCAAGAAAGTAACCAAAACATGTATTCCTGAACAACTCAAGTTGTTTATCAGATAAAGATAGTTTGATTTGGTCGATGACACTATGATTAGTGTAAGATGACCACCTACTCGAAATATACACAACATCCGGATGTTTCCAGAATTTACGATCCTGCATATGTATTAAACATGAATTAAAAATGTGTTACTACATACTAAAGTTGAATTAAAGATGAATTTCACATACTATGTATCAAAGCAAGGTAGTAATCAGTTGAATTAAAGATGAATTAAAGATGAATTACACCGATGACCACTTCTGGTTCCAAAATCCAAACCCAGAACTTATCAACTTCAACACAAGCAGCCTAAACAATGATCTAGTTGTCATACACTTAAAGCTCTATTTTATATCGAAAAACCAACTTCCAAAGCAATTTAAACCTACATTTCCACTTTATCCATTGGAACAAAACATTCGAGTGCGGGAGAAAAGATCAGATAGAACATGAAACAATGTTACTCCAAAATATATGATGTGTCCTCTCATTTACACATCTTTTCACACGAACAAGTGTTACCAGCTATTTGACAAACTCCCACTAATTCTAGACAAAACAATGGACAAAGAGGAGATATTTTGCAATTAAGTAAAACATAAATGTCAAATTCAAAGTGACTGCTAGCTTCCTGCTATAGCACTGCTCTTCATTGGAAGAGTATTCAAGACACTAGGACACTAAATCCCAAACTAGTTAGGGTCAGCATTGAGAATCCTATTTATCCCTCCCCTTTATTTAGGTGACCCTTTTAATCAAACAAATGCAAAACCTGCTCTATTCACTTCCTGCCATTTCTTCAGATGACAATCCCATAAACCTGAGATATAAAGCTACTAATAGCTAGCACTGCAACACTATGCATCCTAACTTGATATCTCACATTCATATTTGAGTGTTTAAAACAAATTGTATTACTACATACTAAAGTTGAATTAAAGGTGAATTCCACATACTAGATCTCAAAATCAAGGCAGTAATCAGTATAAAATCATTCCTAAAACAACAACTAACTAGGAAAAATGCTATCACATACCGGATATCTACTCTCTGGTAGAATGACATTTTGAGGCAATCGATTTCGAGTTTTTGCATCCTTCACTGGCTTCTTCTTCTCCAACCCATCTTTATTTTTCAATTTTTTTGACTGAACTTGAGGAGGTAAATCATCAAAATCGTCATCACAGTCCACGATTTTCTTCGACGTAGATGCTAAATCAACGCATCTTTTTTTCGATTTCTTCACATTGTTCACCTCTTTAACTCGTTTTTTACCTTTGTTCTGCTTCTTGTTCTGCTCCTCCTTGTTCTGCTCACCCTTGTTTTGCTCACCCGATTCTTGTGAGATTCCCAAACTAAAATTGGGACAGTCATTAACTTCATCAGTAGGAGATGAAACTTGACCCCTCATTCGACTCCTTCTATAAACTTTCTGATTCGAAGTACCAACATCACTAAGTATCCGCGGACTTCTTCTAGGTGATTTTCGTGCTCCTCCTTCTTCTTCCATTAGAATTTTGTGCTGAAAGATGGGGAAGAAAGAACAACAAAACCCTAAAATTTTCGGACAGAAGAGTAGAAAGAAAAGAGAAAGAGGATATGAGCGAATGGGCAACACTTTTCTTGCTTTAGTTTAAAATTTTGTTTTAAAATTGTTTTAAGTAACTATTGCTAAAAGTTGACAAAAATGGTAATAAATTAAAAGTATACTTAAAAATGGTAATTATTAAATAAAAGGCCTTCACTTATGTAATTTTTCCTTAATTAAAAGCCACTTATTCATCTCTAAGCTAGCTACCAAACATTATTTATAAAAGATTTAGTATCTGCATAACTCATCTTCAAACTTACTATTAAACCACCCTTAAGTTTTTAAGACATTTAGTTCAAATAAATATTATGATAGTTAGGATAATTACTTAAATTCAATATATATGATTTAATTAACATACCAATTCCATTCGGCTAGTCTATCAACATAAGAACTTTTTACTTAATTAGTTCAAGAGTAGAAAAAGGTTGTCTGGTGCACTAAAGTTTCTGCTATACCTAGGGTCGGGAAGGGCTCTTATTCAAGAGATCCAAATTTGTGATAAGCACCTCAAGTCAAATAAAAAGAGCTAGTAATACAATTATGTCACATGCTAATAATGCAACATGACAAATTAAATCGAAAAACTAATAAGATTTATCAAGTATGCATGTGATATGTTTTAACTAATTAAGGGTAGTTTTATTCCTTTTTGAATTTGATTGAACAATAATTCAAGTCATGAACCATTCAAATTAAATAAAAAGAATATAGATCTCATCCCAACTTCTCACTTCAACTATAAATATGGATCCTTCATAGGCCAAATGAAGATTAATAATCTCACACACGAGAGAGAGTTCTGAGTAGCAAGAACTTAGTGGGTTTGGCATGAAGGGAGATATTTTCATGAAAAATGAATTTCAAGAAAGGTGAATTTTTAATTTATTTTTCCGTGTTTGATGTATAAGCAAGAAAATTATTTCAAAAGTATATTTATATAATCTAGACAAATATTATAGGAGGTGAGTGTATAGAGTAAGAGCGTGGGATTGGTGGGGTGGGGGGTTGTGAAGTTAGGATAAGCTGTGTTAAAGAGTAGGGAGAACATGTGTTATATCATGTTTTTCATATTTGAAATATAATTTTAAATTGAATTTGAAATCTTCATACCTAACCAATAATTTTTAAATAAAGCAAAAAAATATTTTGCGCAAAAATGAATATTTTTTGTAGCTAAATGGTCTTAAAATACTCTTAATTAGATAGTATCTATTAATAATATCTTGATTAAAATCAACTTATTTGAATAAGAATAAATTTGAAGAAGATTAATTAACTTAAAACTAAAAACACCCTATAATATACATCGGAGAGAATATCCCTTCATACTACTAGCCTTCTATCCAAATCTTCGACCTTCGCACCCTCTTAGGGTCATGTTTTATGTAAGGTGCAAACTTGTCATTTCCTGCATGTATCACATCTTCTTCATACTTTTTCGGCCTACTACCTATCTACCTCTGGTTTTCCTTAGGCTCTGTAGTGTCAACTATCTGTATCTCCTCATTGGAGCGTCTATACATATTTTCTTGACATGTCCAAATCAACTCAGTTTCATCTCTCGCATTTCTTTAGGCCCTCTAGCAAGTGCCAACTGTCCATACAACGTCTATACATCTCCTCTTGACATATCCAAATCATCTCAGTCTCACCTGAAAGTCACGTTCTCTCTCCATTTTTCCTAAAATAACTCCACCAATAAGTCCTTATTTTATTGGATTTTTCAAAAATTATATTTTGTGCTCATTTATTTTCCTTCTGTAGACTGTAGAAAATGACCAGGTGGTTTGTGGGGATGGTGTGGTGTAGATTTGTTGATGAGGAGACAGCTTTCTGCCACTGAACAGCTGGCTTCAATAATTGGAATTGTAAAATAATTTGAAATTATTTTGTAGTGAATTATTGCTATTGATTGATTACTGCCATTTCTTAAAGAGATATTGGCAATGCAATAATGTCTTGCCAATGTACAGTAGTTGTGAAAACTCAATTTTTTTTTAGCATATTGACCTAATTCACACTTCATAGTAATTTATTTTGTAGTGGACCACTCGAGATTGACAGAGTCAGTACAATACTCTTGAATCTCTATATTTTTCTAATATCCGAGTGTTTGTGAATTTTGAATTGAACTTGTGACTCTGTCGACGTATATTGTGTAAATATTACGTTATTTCTTGTAAGTTGTAAGATATAATTTGTGGATTGTGAATACTATTTTAAAAGTAAACTTATGTTTGTATTCGCCTCAATTTTGTAGGAACTAAATTATGTCTTGTAAGACATATCTTATAGGTAATAAACTTAACTTATATCTCTAATAACACAATTTTTTTAGGAATTAAGCGGCATAACTTTGTGTTAAGTATTGAAAGATAAAAAATTAAAAATCACCATAAAATAGGAGCATTCGTGCGAATAACCCAGAACATTTTTCCTCCATTATTGAGCTTAATTGACACAAAATAAAATTAATTGAGTCAATGAATTTTAAACACCGATTGATTAACCTTTACATGCTAGAAAAGCTAGGGTGCCATAAGAAGTTCATCCGAATATAAGATACTCTTTATTTATGATATACGTAAAATTTGGAGATAGAGAAGTTAATTTCGATATGTCATTGATTTGAAGAAAAACATTTCAAAAGGAAATTGTAAAAAGAAATAAGAAAATGTACATAAGCACAACACATTTAATTTGTAAAAAGAATTATGGATGCTATAGAAAAAATGAAATAACTCATTTATAATATGTTAATTCACAGCTTGATTCACAAAGATGTTTATTAATAATTAAATAAATGAGTTTTACTAAAAGAAACAGTAAAATTATAGTTATACACAACCACCCTTACTGAATAATATAACAATATTAAAATATTGATAGTTAAACCCCTCACTAACTCCCGCCCATAATCCCAATTTTCATAAATATAATCAAACTCAAAATAAAAATATTACAAAAAATAAATAACAAAGTATACATAATTCATAAAAAAAAAATGAATTCTTTTTTTTTTTTGATAATGGAAAATCAAAGGCTAATTGATAACCCTTGTTCAGTAATATGGAATGACTGGTGGTGGTGGAGATGCGTAGGAGACTCCGATTACTGGTGGGAGAGGGATATTTTCGTAAAATGGTGGTGGTGGCGGCGGTGATGAGTAGTAGTAAGTGGGTGGGGGAGGTGATGGTGATGGTGGCGGTGGTGATGAGTAGTAGTAAGTGGGAGGAGGAGGAGATAGTGATGGAGGCGGTGGTGATGAGTAGGTGTATGGTGGGGATGGTTTTGGTTCCCAATGTGAATTAGGTGGTGGAGGTGGTGGTTCGTTACAAGGTGGGGTAGGTGGGGTTGGGTGTGATGGGGTTTTTGGGTGTTCGTATGATGGTGTTGGTGGTGGTGGTGATGGGGTTTTTGGGTGTTCGTATGATGGTGTTGGTGGTGGTGGTGATTGGGGTTTTGGATGCTCGTATGACGGTGTTGGTGGTGGTGGTGATTGGGGTTTTGGATGCTCGTATGATGGTGGTGGTGATGGTGTTTTGGATGTTCGTATGATGGTGTTGGTGGTGGTGGTGATGGTGTTTTTGGATGTTCGTATGATGGTGTTGGTGGTGGTGTTTTAGGATGCTCGTATGATGGTGTTGGTGGTGGTGGTGATGGGGTTTTTGGATGTTCGTATGATGGTGTTGGTGGTGTTGGTGATGGGGTTTTTGGATGTTCGTATGATGGTGTTGGTGGTGGTGGTGATGGGGTTTTTGGGTGTTCATATGACGGTGTTGGTGGTGGTGGTGATTTAGGCTTGTAAGTAGGTGGCTCATAATACACCGGGGGTGGTGGAGAATAATAAACTGGTGGTGGTGGGGACGATGGAGATGGGTGGTAATATACGGGTGAAGGTGGAGGAGGTGAATGATAAGTTACAGGTGAAATTTTGTGAGTAGGTGGTGGTGGACTTCTATGTCGATACGCTGGGGACTTTTTGTAAGGTGCTGGTGGAGGAAGAGGAGTTGATTTAGGTGGTGGCGGAGATCGCTTGTTATGCGAACCCGAAGACTTCCAAGTAGGTGGTGGTGGTCCTCTTGGTTTTGGTGTTGGTGTTGGCTTTGGCTTTGGTTTCGTCGGTGGAGACGTAGCATATGGGCTATAACACTTCGATTTCTTACAATCATACGGTTTTGCATCATCCGAAGAGCATTCTTTAGCAGATCTTTGATTCTTCTTTCCAACGAGACAGTTCTCCTGACCATCACCAGATCTAGTCGCAGCACAAACCGGAGCCTCCCCAGTGAAGTAATTGAACGAATACGTAAAGTTCTGCAACCTTGGAAGCTGGCAAATGCTAGCTGGTATAACCCCAGTAAGCTTGTTGTGAGCCACATTGAGTTCCTCCACACTCCTCATTTTGCTCACAGTTAATGGCAATGAGCCTTGAATCTTGTTGAAGCTAACATCAAACACTGTCAACTTCTTCAACAATCCAATCTCCATGGGTAAACATCCAGTGAGGTTATCATTCATCAATATCAACTCATTCAACGTTTTCCCCATTTTCCCAATACTCGCGGGAATACACCCTCCAAGATCGTTATTAGCAAACACAAGAACAGAAACAGGGGAGTTACCCAAGTTCTCCGGGATGCCAAAACGGAATCTATTGTCATTCAGAAACAACGCATCCAAATCTTTATCGAACAATTCGGAAGGAACTGGTCCTTCAAAATCATTAAACCTTAGATCCAGAAACTTCAAAGAAGGTAGTGAAAGAACTACCTTAGGGAACCCACCAACAAACCTATTGTTACTCAAATCAAGCTCCCTAAGAAGCTTCAAATGGCTAAAAGTTTTCGGTACAACTCCACAAAAACGATTCGAGTTGAGATGGAAAAGAACCAGATCTGTAAGAAGACCAAGTTCTGCAACTAATGAACCAGCAATGTCAGCATGATTAAGATCAATGCCAGCTACAACTCTAATCGAATCATCCGTTAACGAAGGAGCACAAAACACTCCACCATACGAACAAACATCAGGTCCTGTCCAATTAGCTGTAAAGTTAAAAGGATCAGAAAACATTGCTGTTTTCCAATATTGCAACGCGATATAAGCATCGCGAATCTTTGGGTTTTCGAAACTCAACTTACTAGCATTAGCCTTAATATCATCTAAATCGATATCGTTATCACCTTCTTGTCCTACCACATTCGAGATCTGGTACGACAAGAGGGAGATAACAAGAAAAGAGATAAATACGTTGCGGCTAGGAGGCCGCATTGCTGAATTTGATAGAGATTTTCAAGCTAAGAAGAAGAAAATGAAGTTTTTTTTCACACAATGTAAAAATGTGTTGTTGAATGAATGAATGAATGAATTGATTTGAATTAAATAGCAAGTAGATACCTCTATTTATTCCTTCACAGCTCTTTGCCTATTTGTGTTTGTATATTTTTTCATTTTTTTCTTACTTGGAGACACATTATAATGACATGCCAGCACGTCTTTAATAAAATCTTGGTTTATATTTGAATAATTGACATCATATTAAGATTCTCTGTTTTTAATTTTTATTTTTAAATTATACAAAAAAAAAGTAAATAATGACAATCAATTTGCCAACTATATTACTCGTTTTTGAAAAGAAAAAAAAAGGAACATTGACGGTGCCAGATTGGTGTGGAAGTACTCACAAGGATTTTAGTAGTATTTAATTTAAATTTATAATTTATTGTCTTTTAGTAAGTATTTTAATTATAATTTCTTAACAAGGGCACCGTTTTCAATGATAACGGCAGTTTAGTACTACTTTGAATTATACAATAATTTAAAAAACAGAATAAAATAAGCAAAACGAAATAAATATAAATAAATAAATAAAAGTGTCTAGTGGGTTAGATTTTTCAGGCCCCCACGTCTATCGGCTACGAGTAAATGACATGCCAGCACGTTAAGACAAAAGTAAGAGACTACCACTATTTTATTTTTCGGAATTACAAAGGACACATTAAGACAGAAAATTAATAGGTAGTGAAATATTATTTTCAATAATCTATCCTGATAGCTTATTAATTATTATATTTTGATTAGTGCATTATTCTTGTGTTGCTCCCTTCTGATAGTTTTACACTATTTTCTTGTGATGTGCTAGATTTTCTTCTTTATATATTAAAATAAATGTAATTGAGCTGAGGGTTATTCAGAAAAAGACTCTCTATCTCCACGAGATAGTAGTAAAGTTCGCGTACATTCTACCTTCTCCAAACTTCACTTGTGGAATTTCACTGAGTGGGTATGTTATTGTTGTTGTTTGATATTTGAATTCGTATCGTATAAGACCTTATTCGAAAAAAGCGCTCGCCACTCTCTATCAAAATTTTTTTCTCAGAACTCAAGTTCGAAACGTCTGATTAAAAGAGGAACAATCTCTATTAACTACACCACATCATTTGATGATTGATACTATTTCTTTGGTGTTATTTTGCGAAATAGAAAGTTCTTCAAATATTAACCCGATTTTTACTAGTGAACTAAATGGCCACATCAAAATTATGACTGCGGTAAATACAAATAAGATATTTACTTAGGTTGAGATAGATTGTATCATTTAACGTGGTTTTATAATAACATATTAGTAATCTAAACAATAAATTTATAATAATATTACAAAATAAAATAAACACAAATTGCGTTATTATAAAAAAATATAATGCAAACGATAAATAGAATTAGTAAATAAACAAAAGTAAAATAATACAAGAAAAGTAATAACATGATCAAATCAAACTAGTCATAATGAAGATAATAATCCTAATAAAATTTCAGTAACAGTCAAAATAAATATTACGATACAACACAAATTACAAATCTAGTGAAGTAGAAAGTTCTTCAAATAAGCACCCAAAAATTTGCTTTGTTAGACTTCAAACCACGTGTGAAAAAAAGGACTTTGAACCCAAATTTTGGCTGCGTTAAAAATAAAATAAAATAAAATAATATATATATATATATATATATATATATATATATATATATATATATTTCTCCACTTGATCAGGCGACAAATAATGCTTCAAGCTTGCATTGCAAATTAGCAATTCTCACAAAAAAAAAAACATCTTTCTAGAAAAAAATAGATATAACTTTAAAATTACAAATTAATTAAAAATTTAGAGAATTTTAGAAATAGTAAAGATAATAGGCATAATAAGACTCTATGACTATAGTTTTGATAATTGTGTTTCGTAGTTATAATTTCATTTACTACGGAGGCTAGAGTTTGTATATTTCGTTTGCCCGTTTGTATATGCAAATATACAAAAAGGTAAGTATATATAAATGGAGGATGCGGTTTGTATATTTCGTTTGCCCGTTTGCATATTTTACTTGCGAATAAACAAACAGGGCCAATATATATAAATTATGTATTTATACATTTAATTTTTTTTTCAGAACTCTGCTTGTATATTTCGCTTGCCAATATACAAATAGGATAATTTATTATGATTTTTTCAGAAATTATATACAAATAGGATAATTTATTATGATTTTTTCAGAAATTATATACAAATAGCTAGGGTAAGCATATACAAATTCTCGTTTTATACAGTCAGAAACTGAATTATACAAATTCTGAATTTATACAATCAAGGACCGAATTATACAAATTTTGAATTTATATTTTAGGAAATCAAATAGCAAAAATTGGGGAAATTATAGTCTCAAATAACATTTTTCTTAAACTATATAGTTATGGTACATAATATAGGCCAAAGGTTTGCTATTCTACATCATTTTTCCTTAAAAATATGTGTAACTAACTCCAAAGAAAACTTGGATGCTAGAGTAAAATGTTGTTATGCTAGAGTAAAATGTTGTTATGTTATAGAGAAATGTAACTATACTTTCAATATTTCATTTCATATAATACTATATTATTTTAATTTATTTAAAAAAGAATGATCTTATTTTATATTTGAAAATAATCTAATTTTAAATTTTTTATTCTACTCTCATCTTCAAATATCCAAATTGTTATAACTACACAAATGACATGATTTGAATTAGATTTAAGATTATTATGAATTCAAAAGGTTAAATTTTCTTCTTCTGAATTTGGATATATTCAATTAGACAAGGTCACATAAAGTGAAATTAAAGGGAGTAATAAATAGATGATAAACAATTATTATAGACAAGTTCACATAAAGTTTTTATTTTATGAATTACGCGTTTGTGTGTCTTCTTTCTAGCAATTATTGGTAGCATTTTTTTTTTACTCAAAAAATAAATAAATCATTATTGGTAGCATTACCTCTTTTTTACACTTTTTTTTGTTTTGTTTTTTTGAATGAGACTTTTCTTCTCTTTTTGCGGCATCGTAGGCCAACCGAAGACGAAATAAAGTTATATAATTATGTGAGCATTGGATAATGTTTTATTAGGAAATTTAAATAGAAAAAAATGTGTTTTTAAAGTAAAAAATTGCTTATTTTTAGAATTGTGTTTGATCATGAATATACATTAGAGATGTTCTTGATGTTTATTGGAGCTAAAAAGGTGAAAATACATTTTTTTTAAGTTCTTGAACATTATGAAATTCAACTTCTAAGTTATATTCAAAAATTTAATGGTCGAATATGTTTTTCAGAGTTGTGTAAAAAGTAAAAAACTTTCATGGTCAAATGCCTTCGTATATGTTTTGTCTTTTAAATGGATTAGTTTTTATTTTTAACCCTTTGGTAATTGAATTTATGTCTAATCGAGCACAAGTTCTTTTGAAATTGAAGTTATATTCAGACATATATATCATGTAAAATATTGTGATATAAAATATAACCCAAGTAAAGTAGTCTAGGTAAGAGTGTCAAGGGGCTGGGTTGGACCGATCCGATTGAGGAAATATTAAACCAGAGCGGTTCGGGGTTTGGGTTGGTTACCATGTTGTGTGGTAGGGTTGCTAAGGCGAATCTAGAGGTTCTATTTTATAGATTTTGAATCTTATTGTGATGATTTCAAGTGATAATAACTGAATTCTAAATTTAATATTTGTATAAATATAATAAACTTACTAACACAAATAAAATTATTTAAACAAAATCTACTAAATTCGACTGAACCTACATACGAACTTTATTTAAACAAAATCTACTAAATTCAACTGAACCTATAGACGAACTACTAACTCCGCCGGTAGGTAGCTTGATGGAAAAATAAACTTATTTTATTAGATTTAAAATGTGAGACTATTTGGATTGAACTTCTTTTTGGCAAATATGACATGGCATTTTTTGCTTACGTGGCAGCTGAGCTGTTACATATGCCACTAATTATTGTTATTTACGTTTTGTTTTTTAGATATTTTTTTCTTAAACAAAAGTTATTCTTATGACTTTTGTGCAACAAAAGCTTAGTTCCATAAATCATAATTGTTTGTCCGTGAAATTTGTAACATATTTAAGTCTGAAAATACTTTTTTTTTTTGTAAGAACAATAGATCATATATGTATAGTTAAATCAAAGAGGGTTGTTACAAATAATAATTGAGTTCACAGTATGGATCACCGTATGATCACTTAAGTAGCTATTACAAATAGTAATTTTTTCGAAAAACATAGTTTCAACCGATGTCTAAACAAACATACTTCGAAGCAAACATTGACGAAACTATCAAAATTGTAGGAGCTCCAAAAGCATTGCATTTTGCTCCCTCCTCGTCTGAAAATGTTTATGAACGTACTCTCAAAATTAAAAAAAAATGTTTTTTTAAAATTTTGACTGTTTAAAATAACTGTTTTGAAAATGAACTTTTTTATTTCTCTCCTGACTTATAAACCTTCTAAGTCATCGTTCAAATGATATTTTTTCTTGAGCTAATTGAAACCTTAAGAAAATTATTGAATCACACTTTAAAACTATGTAAGTAATTTAGCTGATAATTTTATTTGTTTGTAAATTTGAACAATATATAAACAAATATTACACCAAAATCTACTATTGGATGGAAGGGTAATCATTTCAAAAGAATTATATTTGCATAAACTTTTTAAAAATAAGAACAAAATTTAAAAGTAATATAAAATAGAAACACTTGGGTAAATTTAAAACAGCTATATATAATTAAACAAGACAGCCACGTCGTACGCTGTGGGTTGGCCCTATATTTTCAATCTTGCACATGCCTTGCCGTGCCAGCTCCATTAACTTTCACTTCTGACTCGTTATTTCTTCGTCTTAATTTATGTGATATAATTTAATTTAATGTGATAGAACGAAAGAAAGATATTTAGACTATTTGTGTGATTATAGATTATTTTAACAC